GAAAGGCTGTCTCCAAGCAGAGGATGGCCCACTGGATTGTGGATGCCATCGCCTTGGCTTACCAAGCTCAAGGCGTGCCCTGCCCGCTCAGGTTGCATGCACACTCAACGAGAGGCCTTGCATCCTCCTGGGCGCTGGCACGTGGCTCCTCGCTAACAGATATCTGTAGAGCTGCGGGCTGGGCGACACCTAACACGCTCGCTAGATGTTATAGCCTACGTGTAGAGCCGGTCTCCTCCCGTGTTCTCACCCTAAACGGGTAGAAGCACCGAGAGGCCCGGCTCTGTCGGCTTGCTGCACCCTACTGTGCACCCTTATTGCTCCAGAGTGAAAAACCTGTTGAGTCCTCCAAAAACCCCTCGGCCCGGACATGGCGGAGCGTCCAGGTGCCAGGCCTTTATCCGCTGAAGCCTTGAGGGCCGGATCTGGGCTGGGTTCCATATGTGTGACCCTACGGGGATCCCATATGTGTTAATTTCCACGGCTGCTCCTAAGACGGAAGCCTGTGTCTTTCCCTTGGGCTAAGTCACCCACTATCTCACATGTAGTACAGCCTTCGGGCTAGTCCATATGTATTCCCCACATAACTCCTTGAAGTAAGTGGCTTCCGCAGCGTCCTCCTTCCTAACTATAGGGCACGCTTTCCCAGTGTTATCCAATAATCTCACTGTATGGGTTATTACGGAACAACAGTGACAGATACACTCTGTGTAAAGCCTCCTCCTATCGTCCTTCCAGGCAAGAAGGTGTAGAGGCTTGCACGGGGCGCTGGATGGGGTGCAGCAGCTGTGGCGCTTTGGTAGGGATTTCTATTGGTCAGTCTGACCTACGTTGTAGTGACTGACCGATAGGGAACGTCTCAGTTACATATGGTAACCCTCGTTCCCTGAGGGAGGGAACGGAGACGTAGGTCCCGTCGCCACATCTGCTGCCGCCCGCCGGGGCGGCCAGCTTTTTCAGGTTTGGCTCCTCAGCAAAAAACTAGTGTGCAATCAAACAGCTGCTTGTTAAATACCCGTGCTGCGAGGCTGCACAGCTGATGCAAATGATTGCACGCCAATGTGCATTGGCTTGTTTTAGTTTCACTCGAAGTAGATTGGCCTCTCTAGCGAGATTCCTATTGGTCAGTCTGACCTACGTCTCCGTTCCCTCCCTCAGGGAACGAGGGTTACCATATGTAACCGAGACGTTACTTTACTTAAGTACATTTTTCACATATCTTTACTTTACTTAAGTAGAATCAATAGTGCATACTTATTACTTTTACTTCGTTACATTTTGCAGCAATTATTGTACTTTCTACTCCACTACATTTCTACAACGTTCTGTTACATTTTCGTTACATTTTCTGATCAGTTTTCCCCTGCCAAAACGTCATCCTGACCGTCCGTTCGTTGCACGTTTGTCTCACCAGTAAAGTTTGGTTGCCATATCAACCCGGTCACACTAAATGCGTCTCTATAGCACGCAGTGTGTTTATCGTGCAATTTATACGCGGAAATTTGTTTTTACGTGCATAGGATACGCATGGGTAGGTTTAGTAGTGGTGTGGGGTGCGTGTGTAGCCTACTGTCTATGGTAGCCTATTATACATTTGGTTAGGATTAGTATGGCAAGCCAAGAGGTTCAGAATTACGCCATAAATGAATCGCGTTTACAGCCAAACCCCGTCAAATTAAGCTTGATGTGTATATTCCTAATTGCAAGCTTGTTCAGAAATGGTGACAAACTTAAAAAAATAACGGCTTTTCCATCATTATTGAACATCATTATAGGATTATTAGGTTGAATGAGTTAGGATTAACTGTTTTATTAATCATTAGAATATAGACATTAAGAGAATAAATTGTTATGCAAGTACTTTTACTTTTAATACTTAAAGTACATTTAAAATCAGGTACTTTTTACTTAAGTAGGGTTGTCATTGTGGTACTTCTACTTTCACTAAAGTAAACATGTCTCTGGTTATTTGTACTTTTACTTAAGTACTGAGATTCAGTACTTCCTCCACCACTGAATATAATGTTACACATCAGATGTTTTCCCCAACAGTTAACCAAACGTTCACTAAGACGAGAATGTTTGCATGAATACTTGCCAAGACAGATATTTTGAAATACTGCAATTCGATGTATATGTGTATATCGGGATTGCGCAGTGTCAGTCAGCGTGAGTAAGTTTGTTTTTTCACCTAAGCATATTCATTTGAAAATCATTTTCATTGGTTCAGACTTATGCTATCGAGAAATTACAATGAATATTCACAAAGTTGATATGCTGTGCTTTACAACGATACCAAACTTGTGCTGAGAGGAGCGCCGTCATCAATAAGTGAGCAGAGAAAAGCAGCATTTTTCATGGACAAGGGAAAGGTGCTCTTTCGGTTAACTCAGTGTTAGCGTGGCACTGGTCCAGGTGTTTCTTCAAGTTACTCGTGCTATTTCTCGATGTAGAGAGTTCCCTCGGTGTCACGCAGATTGTCCTTGACTATTACTTTCTTGTCCTTTTCTCTGACTGAACTGAAAATAATGGGAGTATGTCCAAATCACAAATGTAGAATCCGTCACTGCCGTCATCTCAACCATCGCATTCCAGCAACAGGAAATAGACACTACTTTACCGCAGATTATTTCCTCTGGTGCTGGAATGCCTTGCGGCGTTGGTAAATTATATATATATATATATATATATATTAGTGCTGTCAAACGATTAGAATATTTAATCGCGATTAATCGCATTAATGTCATAGTTAACTCGCGATTAATCGCAATTAATCGCACATTTTTATCTATTCTAAATGTCTCTTGATTTCTTTTTGTCCCATTATTTTTTCTAATTTGAATGCTCTTATCAACATGGAAAAGTGGATCGGCTTGCTTTGTGCAAATGTTTTTTATTGAAAACAACATTGGCATATACTGTGTTCAATTTCACACTAACATTCTCACTGGGAGCAAATAATCTCTCACACAATGTAACACTGTCCATCAATAAAAGGGTGAAAGAAATACTGATGAGGTCCTGATATTGACGAGGGGGCGGAGAATTCGCATCAGCTGTGTGTGTGTGTGTGTGTGTGTGTGTGTTTGGCCATCATCAAGTGGTGTTTCAGACTGGACGTGCTGCGATGATGATAGCTCAGTTCATAACGACAAAACACACAGATCATTTTGGTCTTGTCAATGGAACCATTTGGCAACTTTTTAAAAGTAAACTTTCAATTCAGAATCTTATTGGCATCCATTTCGGCGTCTCGCGCTCGTCATCCACTCAAAACGTAACGCTAACCTACTATTTGGCCGGCTCGCAACAAGTGGGTTTCCGGTCTAGCTAGATCCGGTTCTGTCAGACAGGATGCGGAATGTGCGGCGCTACGCCAGTTTTCAATTTACTTTTTGGATGCCAAAACGTTTCTATGGCCTATTTCTATTTTGACCGTGGTGTGCGCGCCGCACATGACGCGTCCTGTTGCAAAAGCATGTGAAAAAAACTACAAAGTTTGCTAGGCCAAAAAGACCGTTAATCTCGCGATAAAAAAAATGAAAAAAATGAATCGCGTTAAAATGGGTTTGCGTTAACGCCGTTAATAACGCGTTTAACTGACAGCCCTAATATATATATATATATATATATATATATAGGGTTAAAATGTGTTGTTGTAATGTGCATTACTGAGATTATAATACGTGTAATATTAGCAATATTATATCAGGACTGCGTTATATTACTGGGTTACAGAAAAAAGTAATAATTGTGTAATGCACTGACCCCAAGCTTCTCAGGGTCCTTCAGGGCATGATTGCGATGACACATACCAAGTTTCTTAACAATATGTCACTATTTTTGTAAACAATTGCATTTTATTGCAAAAAAAAAAAAAAGACCAACAGGCAAAATTGCACTGGTTGCCAGTTGCCGCTCGCATTAAATTCAAGGCACTAACGTTTGCCTACAGAACAACCACTGGCACTGCTCCCTCTTACCTAAACTCATTACTTCAGACTTATGTGCCATCCAGAAACCTGCGCTCTGCTAGCGAATGTCGTCTTGTGGTACCATCTCAAAGAGGCACAAAATCTCTTTCTCGGACCTTTACCATGGCTGTTCCCTGTTGGTGGAATGATCTGCCTAACTCAACCAGAGCTTCTGAGTCAGTAGCCACTTTCAAGAAACTGCTGAAGACGTATCTTTTTCGGCAGCACTTGATTCAGTAGAATTAACACTTTCTCTTCTATTCTTAAAAAAAAAAAAAAAAAACTGCACTAAAATTAAACTGAGAGGGGTTATAGCACTTACGTATTGTTGTCCTACTGTTAGTTTAACTGCTTCTATTGTTCTCATTTGTAAGTCGCTTTGGATAAAAGCGTCTCCTAAATGAATAAATGTAAAATGTAAATGTAAAACGGCCAACATTAGATCAACACTGGGTCTTCCAGCAAGACTACAACCCAAAGCACATCCAAGTTGGTCCAAATGTTTTTGAGGGACAAGTGGCCCCTGAAAGCCCAGATCTAAATCCTGTTAAGAAACTATAGCGGGAGCTCAAGCTTAAAGGGACAATGTGTAGGAATTTCTCACATCTTGCGGTGAAATTGTATTATATGTGCTATTATAGTTTTTCAAGATGGCGGAACGACATGGAAGCCTCCGTGGACCTACCCGTCCCATGTATATAAAGATAATAAATTCTTCGTTTACGAGGATGAGTCAGATAATTGGCAGAGGTATTTGTACACCATTAAGGACATATTTATGAATTAAAATATTGATTTTAGATAATAAAATACCGAAAAAAGTACACATTGTCCCTTTAAGGTCCATGCTCTAAAGTCATGTAATTTAGAAAAGCTGGAGCAATTTGCCAAAGAGGAATGGAAAAGATCCCTCAAGATAACTGGCAAGAATCATATCAAAGTAAAATGTTTTAAATAAGACATTTGTAATGGAAAGGAGTTGATTGTTTATGTAATATGATTGTCTCTTTTCTTCTATGATTGCAGCCATGACAGCGGCTCATTTGATCTGACTGTGAACAATATCAACATCTACACCCTCCTGCAGTTAGGAGATGATGCTGGCCGTCTCTCCATCACCACTGTTCAGTGTAGTGCTAATGTAGGAGGTGTGGATATTCACTTCCATGGAGGAGCCAGGTAAGACCAGCATTAACAAAGCATAAACAACTGATGATACCTGAAGATACACGCAACTACTGTGAATATCTCTTATGACTACCACCAATGGAGCATTTCTATTCTTTCTATTCTGCAGCATTATTTTCCAGCCATTTGTAAGTGCTTTCAGTGGACAAATAATAGACAAGATACGTGAGCAGGTTTGTCATTTTTTCAAAAACAAATTAGCCAACACTATTATCTGCTACTGGTGATATTTCTCATTATGTCTTGGTTTGTCATTATTATTTATTTCAGATTTGCCCGGCAATTCAACAAGCAATAAATGGATTAGAGACAACTCTACAGGAAATTCCTGGTACTGGCACAAAATATGTCTCAAAATATATTGTGCATAAAGAATACTATTTTTAGGACCAATATAATACATTTTTTTTTGCATTGTGACATTATTTTTCATAATCATTAAGGTAAATGTGATTAATTATTATTAAAAAGGCCAAATTTCTTGAATTTGATGTGAACATTTTTGTGAGATTCACCCTACTGTGGGTTATTTTTTGAACTATTGCTACTTAATGACATTAATGTTGTTGACGTGATTGTGAATACAAAATCGTTGGAAAACTACTTATAAAACTACAGCACGCATTACATTCCTCTTCATTAGATGACTACAGTAATCATGCTCAAATTAATTCTTTCTAGTTAACATACCTGTGGGTCCGTATCTATATCTGAGCATCCCTCTCACATCCTCCCCGGCTGTGAAAGACCAAAGCTTTGGGTTAGATATTAAGGTAAGCAATTCAGCATTTATCATAGTGATTAAAGCCAGGCATACACTGTGCGATTTCAGCATTTATTTGGTTAAATACCAACTCTCACTGTACGAGTAAATCGCATTAGATGTAAAGCCAAAGCTCACGATCTACGCGAGCCGACCGTGGAGCTGCGACTTAAAATATCCATTTCGTGTCGGGTGAAGGGAAAAGGCACTGAGTTTAGGGCAATCAGTTCATAGCTCTGCTTCAACTGTGCGATACCCTCACAAGACTCAAAAAAAGGGTGACATACAGCTCAGGAATCGGCTCAGATTAAGTTTGAAAATGCCCAGTGTATGCCCTGCTTAACACTTTATTGCCATAAATCAAATTCATGCAGTTACAACAGGGGTGTCCAATCCAGCTCCTGGAGGGCCACTGTTGAGCTAATCAAGGCTGTTGTTCCTGAGACAGGGAGAGTTTTACAGCCGCAGTTCTCCGTCTGAACCGCCGTTCTCTGCAAGCGTGTTTGACGTGCCGTATGCAGAAAACTACATGCTTTCGATGGCGGCCTCTGAGTTCTTAGTAAATTCAGCAGCGTATGCGTTCCTCAGCTCTGGGGCTCTTCAAATCAACATCAGAGATGACATGGTGAGGAAATACAACAAAATACATACTATTACCATATCTTATGAATGAAACTATACAGCATTTGTGTCGGAAGAGTTCTGTATATTACACTCTTACACTCGTTATAGACTTACAAGGAATCATGCCCTCTTATAGATTTAAAATATAGATTTAGCTATTAAGTCACTCATTCATCTCATTCAATGTAGATACCAAAGAGTTCTCCAATCCATCTGAACACCAGTCAGTTTGGTGCCTTCGTTCCACAGGTCAGTGTGTGTACAGGTCGTGACATTGAATTGAAAAAGTATTTTGTTTAATGCCAACCAATAAATAACTAGAGAATATGACTATGTTTGCATTTACTGACCAGTCATGAATCTCATGTGTATTTTCATGTCTAAAACGTGTCTGTTCCATGTTATTTTAATGTAAAATCAAGTTGTTATCCAGATGAATAATGTGCTTTCTTTACAAATGATTTGTTCAGCTACGCACATTGTATCCCAACATGGAGATGCAGGTGCTGTTATACGCCAGTGAGACGCCTCTATTCTCCTTCAGTTCAGGGGCGATAGAGATTCATGTACCGGCTGCAGCAAAGTTCTCCGCTGTTAAACCTGATGGTGCGCTGGTGCCTCTCTTCACACTGGATGTGGTGAGTTTCGTGTTTGGATACACAAATTATGCACAAAAACATTGTATAAAACATGGAGCCAAGACCTTCTATACGCTGTAAAGTAAACACTACAAACCATGTGTTCACCAAATGTATTCATGAAAAAGGAAACAGCAATTCAGCTTATAATGAACTTCAGTGTTGTTCTCTCACTCCTCTGCAGGACGGCAGCTTCGGTGGAAGTGCTCGGATTGACACAAACCTGACTGGAGCTTTCCAAATGAAAAAGTGAGTTTCACTGATATTTGTCCAGTAAAATGAGCTTCATTTTTAGTTGCGTTTTCATTTCAATCATGCATTTCAGTTTTATGTGACGCTTTAGATTACAGCCCAGAGAGTACTGTGTAAGTAAAACGTCTCAGGTTACTACTGTAACCATAGTTCCCTGAGAAAGGGAACGAGACGATGCGTCACTTGACGCTTTGGGAACGCCCCCAGCGTGAATGCGTCTGAGCATCAATGTCAACTAGTCCAATGGAAAGAATGAGCGTCACGGGCGGGTGACGTCATGACCAGGAAGGCATAAGAGCACATCCGGTGAAACGCGGCATTAGCTTCAAAAAGTCGAAGCAAGCCGATCACAGGGATGCAGGAAGTATGGCAGGGTGACGCATCGTCTCGTTCCCTTTCTCAGGGAACTATGGTTACAGTAGTAACCTGAGACGTTCCCTTTCGAGGGAACTCGCGATGCGTCACTTGACGCTTTGGGAACGAGAATACCCAAAACGCCAGAATTCCAAGTACCTGAGTGTCAGTCTGTTGGAACTAAGCACTAAGCACCTGAGAACCCGGGGCAGCATCCAGGTCCAAACTGTAAAACCTGACGAATGTGAGCGGTGAAGACCAGCCTGCCGCATCACAAACGTCTTGGAGAGAAACCCCAAATAACAAGGCTTTAGAGGCCGCCATACCCCTCGTTGAGTGAGCTCTGACCACCAAGGGACACGGATGGTCAGAGTACTCGTATGCATGTGAAATAGCCTCGACTATCCACTTACTAACCGTCTGTTAAGAAGCAGGAAGACCCTTCTTAGGTGATCCAAAGCAAATAAATAACTGGTCGGACTTCCTCATTGAAGATGTCCGATGAACATAAGTATCCAGTGCTCGCACTGGACACAAGAGGTTCAGCCTTTCCTGGTCCGCAGATGTAAAAGGAGGACAGAAACCTGCAGCACAATAGGCCTCGGAATAATGGTAGGCACATTTGGAACATATCCATGTTTCGGGTAAGAATGCCTTGGCCATCCCCGGTGCACTCAAGGCAGGTGGGGACCGAAAGGGCCTGAAGGTCTGACTCTAATAGGGACGAAATAGCTAGCAGAAAATAGTCTTAAAAGAAAGGAACTTCTCTGAGACCAAATCTAAGGGCTCGAAGGGAGCCCCAGATAGGCCTTCTAGAACTATTGCAAGGTCCCAAGCCAGCACCCTAGTGCAAGTTGCAGGCCTCAGCCTCAAAGTGCCACGAAGGAAACGAGTGATCAGGGGGTCTCGACCCAAAAATGTACTACCCACCAGGGCGTGGAAAGCCGCAATGGCCGCCACGTATACCTTAAGCGTGGAAGGACATAGACCTGATACAAAGCGTTCTTGCAGAAACTCGAATACTGTGTTTACTGAACAGTTAACCGGATCCCACTGACGCTGGTAACACCAAGAAGTGAAAAACTCTCGAAATAGCGAATATAGTTTCCTCGTAGCGACAACCTCGGTTGAGAGACCACTCTCTATGAGTTGGGCCCCCTCAGAGGCCAAACCCACAGTTTCCAAATCCCCTGCCGGGGGTGCAATATTGCATCCCCTGCCTGAGACGGAAGGTCTCTCCTGATAGGGACCTCCAAGGGAGGTCCGTCGAGGAGAAAAATTAGGTCCGCAAACCAAATTCAGCTCGGCCAGGGTGGTGCTACTAAATAGGCTTATTCCATTCTGGCGGAATCACTCCAGAACTCCTGGGAGCAGAGCAACAGGGGGAAATGCGTACAGACGTAGCCTCAGCCACGTCTGCACCATAGCAACCAGCCCCGAGGGGACTGGTTGAGTGAGGGATAACCAGAGTGGACAGTGCGTCGTATGCTGAGACGAGAACAAATCCACTTCTGCCTGGCCATAAAACTCCCATATTTGCTCCACCGCCTCGGGGTGGAGTCCCCTGGCCTCAGCCCCTGCCTCGACAGGGTGTCTGCTCCAATATTCTGGCCCCCCTGGAATATACACTGCCCTCAGACAGCGTAATTTCCTGAGGGACCAAAATAATAGGCCACCAACGTCTTGTCTGTGGGTCAAGAACCAGAGTTTCCTCCATATAACCAAGGCGCGGGAATACTGCCGCGTGATCTTGATCGTACGGAGTGGGTTTCCCCTCAGGGAGAACCCTCTGGTCCTGAGCCACCACTGTAAAGGTCTCACGTACAGCAGGTCAAAGGGTATCACATTGAACGCTGCTGCCCTGAGGCCTAACAGTCACTGTTTCAGAACAACACATGATGGCCCCTCAGGTCTGGGAGGAACTGTCTCAACGCATTGAAGACAGCCATCATCTCCAGGCAATTGATGTGCCACGAAAGATGATGACTTTTCCACAGACCCTGAACCGAGCGGCCTTCCATTACCGCTCCCCAGCCGGTGAGGGAAGCATCTGTCGAAATAGTAACACGATGGCAAAGAGCTCCCAATACCGGACCTTGGGTTAAGAACCAATGTTTCCTCCATATAATTAAGGCACGAAGGCACCGCCGCGTGACCTTGATCATACGAAGTGGGTTTCCCCTCGGGGAGAACCCTCTGGTCCTGAGCCACCACTGTAAAGGTCTCATGTACAGCAGGCCAAAAGGTATCACGTTGGACGCTGCCGCCAAAAGACCCAACAGTCTCTCGAACTGTTTTACAGTGCGTGACTGGCCTAGCTTTAGCTCTTTGGTGGCTGTCAGGATAGCAGCTACACGAACGGGCGATAGAGTGGCCCGCATCGTCACTGAATCCCATACCACACCAAGGAAAGTGGTTCTCTGTACTGGAGAAAGCACACTCTTCTTGGCATTGAGCCTCAACCCCAACATCTGCATATGAGCGAGAACGACACCTCGGTGCCGAACCGCTAACTGTTCTGATTCCGCTAGAATCAGCCAGTCATCTATGCAATTCAGAATGCGTATACACTGCAGCCTGGCGGGGCCAGAGCTGCGTCTATACACTTCGTGAATGTGCGGGGTGATAGAGCTAGACCGAAAGGAAGTGCCTGATACTGGTGTTCTTTGCCCCAAAGAAAACCTCAGGAACCTCCTGTGCTGAGGGAGGATGGAGATATGGAAGTATACGTCTTTTAGATCTATCGTGACAAACCAGTCCTCGGATCTGATTTGAGTCACGATCTGTTTGAGTGTCAGCATCTTGGACTTGAGTTCCAGCACCAAACACTCCAACAGACGAAGATCTAGTAAGTGACGCTGCTCTCCATCCTTGTTTGGAACAATGAGATAACGACTGTAAAGACCCGACGCAATGTCGGGTGAGTACACCTGCTCTATAGCTTTCTTTGCTAACAGGGCCTTTACCCCTTGCTCCATTACCAGAGAGATTACCATTACCCATAGAGATATATTTGGCAGTAGCTTCCGCGCTGCCAGAAAATCTACCAAGGGAACCAGCCCCTCGAGGCTGGCCTCTGGTGTAATAAAGACAGCCAGTTTGGGGACCTGAAACATACTGGCAGGAACCACCCGAACTGACTGTTTTCGAACCCCCCTCAGAGGGCGCGAGTCCGACGCAATGTCGAGTTGACGCTGCGCCAGAAGCTCGCTGGAGAACGCTGCGCCCCGAAGCACCAAGGGTGGCGGGGTTGGCAGAACGGTCCCCTGAGGGCACAGAGATGGAAAGGGCACCGTATAATGAGGTGTACACCATTCCACCCCGGTTGGGGCTGCCCTCACCGGTCTGACGCCGTGGCGCCAGACCTTTTCTTTTGAGCCGCAGCCTTCTCAGCATGAAGAACGGTCCTCGGATCCGGCTTCTGCTTTGAAGACTTTGGCTGCTGTGTTGTGTATGAGAAACTAGCCGGCTGGAGCTGCTCACGCCCAGCAGCCCCAGTGGGTTGGACATAGCGAGGGAGAGATTATCTTGTATCTTTCTCCATGATTCCCATCAAATTGAGCCAGAGGTGTCTCTCAGTGACCACATTTCTTTGGCTGCCATCCCTGAGAGATAAATCTGAGGCCCGACGGAGTTCTCAAACCCCATCGGGCCAAACTCCCTCACTTCTGTCCAAATACCACAGCAGGTCAGCCTGATATGCTTGCAGCACTGCTATAGTGTGCAAGCAGGCTCGTGCTAGACCCACTGCCATATATGCTTTTCCCACTAGATTAAAAAATAGTTTTCTTTAATGGTTTAGTGAGAGAAGCCGACGGCTTCAGGGACGAGACTGAACCGGGAGACATAGCTCGCAAGTGTCTGTTCTACCCGGGGTATTGCCCCATAGCCATACTCTCTTAACCCCCAAATATCTGAATATACATGAATGTGTGGCTAAAAAATGAGTAAGGCTTTTTCCATGATCTAGACAGCTCGCTGTGCAGATCGGGAAAAATGGAAGGCCCCGTGATGGAGGTGGAAAAATAGAGGGAAGGAAACTCGTTCAATTTATTTTAAGGACGAGTGCCCCATTATTTCTGCTGGCCATTAAATATTTAATTTATCTACAGCCTTAGTAAACACCTCCACCAGCTTATTGTTATATATATATTTTTTTATATACATTCTTTATATATATACACTTTATTTTATATATAATATATAAACTATCATATATATATATATATAGGCTATATATAATTCTCATACGCTGGGGAAGAGATGGCAAATCCACTTCCCCCATGATTGTGTACACTTTCAATGCCCAGCACATCTACCTCCTCGGAGGTAGAGCACTGAAGCATTGATTTCTCTCCCCGGGCGGAAGAGACCGCAGCGCGGGCTTCCGAGACCGGAGAGAGAGCACTGGATCCCTCGTGGAAAGGGAGGAGATAAGATCCGCGGACCCGTCTCCAACCCCGTAACGAGATCCTATTCGCGATCCACAGGAATGCATTCTCCGCGCTGCCTCGGCAGACGCGTGTCCTGCACCCCGAGGATCGCGAGCCTGGCCACTTTCCTCGAAAAGTGACAGGCGGGAGTGGAGCATGCGAAGCGAAAGCGCTTCTCACAATGTTGCAATCAGCCCCCTCGGAGGCTGATACCGCATGCTCCACTCCCAAACAAACTACGCAAAGCTCGTGTGTGTCCCCACCCGTTAAATAACGCGGGCAGGGAGAAGCACAGAGTTTGTAAAGTTGTTTCGCCATAACTCTTCCCAATAATATCGAACAGACAACAATAAATAGACAGAGACAGAGTAACACAGATCGCTTGCTGAGACACAGAAGCTAATGCCGCGTTTCACCGGATGTGCTCTTATGCCTTCCTGGTCATGACGTCACCCGCCCGTGACGCTCATTCTTTCCATTGGACTAGTTGACATTGATGCTCAGACGCATTCACGCTGGGGGCGTTCCCAAAGCGTCAAGTGACGCATCGCGAGTGACGAATATACAGCGTACCTTTCTGCAATTATAACATACGTAAGTGTAGGTATAAGTGATTACCTTATAATATAATTCATGGATAATTAACTAATTATTTCTACTGTAATTATTTTAGAACTAAGGGGCACTTATTCTTCTATTATCATACAACAATCTTACATTTGGGAACAATTTATTAAGAACATACTGCGTAGCTTCTGGTTATAATAGGGTACTAATACGTAAAGGCGTTTTTAAAATTACGGGGTACATAGTGCATTTTTACAGAAATTATACAGGCATTTATACAGTAATTTTTTGATAGCAAAAGTGCACTGATTAAGTTTGGGCTTCTGTGTTTAAGGCAAGTAAAAAAATTATATTTTCATTTTTTTATTCTATCTTTCGATTTGTTTCACTCTCTCTCTCTCTCATTTATATTTATAAAATATACTGCTTATGTTAAATTATGTTAAAATATAATGAGTGCTAAGAATGATGCAGTATATTTTAACATGGTAACTGGATAACCCTTATTTCTATTTTTTTCCTTTCGATAAGAATGCTAGACATTTAATTAAATCCAGCATGATTACTATTGCAGCTGCCATGATTAAATAATCTGCGTTGATCAACAGTCTTGCACTGGTGTATTCATCTCTATTGCACAATAAAGTACAAAATGAGTTGATGAGCTTTTTCAGCAAAAGCTCAAACTTACACTATCGTTTTGTAGCAAAATGACCTCTTATATGTCAACATTTGGTTACTTAATGCATGAATCTTTTAAGGCCAAGATATCTAAAAAGAAAAAGTGTACATTTTCTGAAACTCTACATCATGTTTTGCCCTGAATGCTGCATCAAGTTTAACGCTGACTCTCGGATCATCTGAGATTGGTGATTTCAAGGTGAGACCAGACAGTGATGATTCATGTCAAATGTTAACTTCAGTAGATCGGCATTATGAGATGTTTTATCTTTGTCTAATCATTCAATGTACAGACTGACTCACTCGAGCAAATGGCAGTGATGGCAGTGAAGATGTTTGTACTTCCAAAACTAAATGGTAAAAAATCTCTTAATTTTGTAATATTGCATTTATTACAAACTTGCAACCAAAAAAGCAAGTTCTGAAAACTATAGACTTTGCAAAATATCTGGTAACTGATAATTAACACCTTATTCTACTTTGCATTTTAGCGGCCCTGAAGGCTGGCTTTCTCTTACCCACACTGCAAGGCTTTAGTTTGATCAATTCTCAATTGCTTATAAAAAATGTGAGTACTTTTAAATGTTAAACCATTGAATGTTTGTATTCTGAAATGTATAGGGTTTGGATTTTGTTTGATATTGCATAATTGTTGGATAACACAGTCATACAGTCTGAATTTGTTTGTGACTTTTTTCAGGGCTTTGTGGCCATTTTTACTGATGTCCAGGAGTCAGGACTCCTCTAAGCTCCACACATGAACTGCACAGAATAGCAAATAACTGTACAACTGCAGAATTGTTTTCAGTGTAAGAATTATATAATCATTACTTGAAATGACCATACAAATTGATCAAATTTGACAATGCTATTTTTACACACAATATTATGTACAAACTTTTTGCCACTCATCCATGCAAATACTCTACATGGTATTTTCTACAGATTACTGTGAAAAAAAGAAAGAAAAAAAATCCCTATAATAATCTGGCTTGCATGGAAGGCTGGCATGATGTCTTTTAGCTATGAGCTTGAGTTTGTGTGAAAGCTTATTAAAAAATATATAATCATAAGCCATCCAACATTCATGTTATTTCACTACACCATTAAAGGTTTTGAAGCCTTTTGGGTATGACCAAGGCGCTATATATATATATATATATATATATATATATATATATATATATATATATATATATTGTGTGTGTGTGTGTGGTACTCCTGAAAAGAAGTATATAAAGTTATAGAAAGAACAACGCTAATGTGTATTTACCATGAGTGAAGCACATCACGGGCGCGCCCCCTTACAAAGCGTGAGATGGCGTCAGCACACAGGTAGGCCTCCCTTTAAGGCGAGTCGGCGAAAGTGGCCCTCCAAAAGCAGAATTGGACACCTCTGTTTTAACAAGAGCCTGGAAGACAGCCGGGGCGTCGGACAGGCCAAAGGGCAGTCCTTGGTATTCAAAGTGTCTTGTGGGAGTGTAAAAGGGCCCCTATTATGCTCATTTAGAGGTTAATAATTATAAATAAAATTTTCTTGCTATATACATTGTTGCAGTACCTGCTTTCACTTTGTTTTAGTTTCAGTTTCTTAAAGAACCCGCCTTCCAAAAAGCCCAGTCTGTTGTCATTGGTCTACTGCTTAGAGCGTGTTTCGGAAATGTAACGTCCCTTACCATAACTTGTGAGTCCAGAGGCGCTGTAAATACTGCTCATGCTAATTATGGCGTATCAGTTTGAGTCCGATAATGACAGAACAACAAACTGATCGACCCAAACCACCTTCCCAAGCATGACTCGTGCAGGACATTTGTAGAGAGCATGAGTGACTCTGATCTGGCCCTGTCTCCAGCTGTCTTTCGACGACCATCTCAATAGAAGTGCCAACATGTCCTGAGGGTGAGCCCGTTGCATCAAGAAGGAAAGTGTTTGGTTTTGTAAGTTCCACAAGCTGTAGTCTCATGAAACACTAAAGTTTAAGGATGCTGCAAGTAATTCGAGTTATTTTGACCATCCACATCCATTCAGCCACACACCCTCTCTCCGAAACTCTGCTCTCTAAAGACTGTCAACAAATTCAAACATGCAAAATGATCCATATAAAATATTTCGAATACAATCTGTGTATATAAATTTCACTGACAATGGCTTTAAAAAAGGGCACTCATTCATCAGTAGATCAATGTTAAACATGGTTATTCATGTCTCAACGGTTTGTAGTGAACCAATAACCTGCTGATGGTGGTGTTGCCAATCACACAGTCCTGCCAGTTCCTCTCTACTTGAAGTGTCCTCAAATGTCATCTCTCTGAAAATGAACAAGCCACACAACTCTTCATAGAGTTCCTTCACAACCTCGCAGCTGACTCAACTTCTGATGATAACACATGTCAAACATTCGTTATCCCCGATGGAATATCCTTCTGAAACCCTATCTACAACGTTCGCAACCGTCACGCCACAAAAGCTTGAGGCTGTCTACAAATCCATCTTGAAAGTAGCAATAATCAAAAAAAAAATTGCATCAGATACAATATACATATTTAATGTCTACAGTGGACATCATCTTTACAATCAGAGATTAGACACTAGATGAATCAGACCACATATTACATTTACATTTATTCATTTAGCAGACGGTTTTATCCAAAGTGACTTACAAATGAGAACAATAGAAGCAGTTAAACTAACAGTAGGACAACAATATGCAAGTGCTATGACCCCTCTCAGTTTCATCTAACGCAGTCCATGATTTTTTTTAATGTTTTTTTTTATGTTTTATCATATTATATTATCAGTAGCCAACATGAACCTTTTCTTAACTATAGTAAATGTGCCTGATAAACAGTTTCGGCAGCCAGAAGAAATCATGGAAAAAAAGTCAAGGGTCAAAAGCTCAACAGAAGGACACACTAATCAGCATAATGGTGATTATGAACTTCAAATTAACCTTTCAACATACTATATAAACAATTCAAATATGGAAAACAGAAGCTCAAGGGCCAATTCAGTCAATTGATCTGTATTTATATAACACTTTATACAATACAAATTGTTTCAATGCAGCTTTACAGTGATAAAACAGTAGAATAATGATCAGGGATGCAAACAATTCCATTCTGTTGTAAAGCAGCTATAAAGCAGCTATGTTCAGCTGAAATCAGTTCAATGTTCATTCTGTTCAGTTCAATAGCTGTGTAATGTTAATCAATTACGAAATTAGTTCAATTCATCTATAAAACAGCTCTGGAGAAAACATTGCTCATCATTCAGTTCAGATCAGCTCAAGTTTACTTCTGATCCAATAGTATAAGTGCAGTCAAATCAATAATATTGCTAAATATATAGCGTCTCCAACTAAGCAAGCCAGACAGTGGCAAGGAATAAACCAATACAGCACATTGAAGCTTCTGCAAGCACCAATGAAGTTTGTTCAACAGAGTTTAGTTCCAACTGTAACTGAACACACCTCAATCAACTACATTGTAAATCTGAATAAGTTGACAAAACCTCTCAGGTTACGTATTTAAGACTGGAAAAACTAGAAGACCTGGAAGAAAGAGCTACTCTCTGAGAGAACAAAGATATTTAACATTTGACCTCCTTCTGGTGCACCATTCTCACCTCAGAATCATTATAATCTACATCTCTTTCCCTCTACCCCCACTCTCTCTCTCTCATGCTGAGATCACCTGAAATTCAGCAAAGAAATGCTACAAGAGAATCAACACGTTTTGTAACTCAAAATTAGCCTGTGATGCAGAGTGGATGCCAGCACTCCGCATCATGTATTTCTAAATGTCGGGTTTAACCTACATCTTTTACTCATTTGATGTTATTGTATTAATTATCTTTGAATTGATTATGAAATTGACATGATACATTTACCTGACATAATAAATTGTAAACATTTGATAACGGGCTTTGACATTATTTTCAGTAAAGAGTTAAAAAGAACAGTCAAACATTCGCTCACATTTAATGATGCCCAGATATCATTAAAACCTTTTCATTTATGGAGTCAGATGAAATAACGAGATAATACATGAGAAAGTTTATTTAATTAAATCAAATTACTTTGCCACGCGGAAAGACATTAACACGCAGAGACCTTCACCCGCTGATTGAATGCCGTCATTGGATAGATCGAGCCAGGCCTTGCGCGTATGTAACCCTGGTTCCCTGAAGAGGGATCGAGACGCTGCGTTGAGATGCTGTGGGAACGCCCCTGCGTGATAGCGTCATGAAGCACGTGTGAAATCAGTCCAATGGTGTGACAAGACATCATAGACGGGTAACGTCACAGACCAGAAAAAACTAAATTGTGTCAAAATTCCAGTCTTGGTTAGTATACTCGTAGTCGTAAACACAGTTGGTTATGTCTTAAATAAGACTTAAACGCATGTGACAGTGTGGCAGACAGTATAATGAACACAGTAATGGATCCGTGCACTAGCTCTAAAAGTGACAGCAGCCATATGGGTCTGTCAATAATGTTGTCGTCAAAACAACAAAAGATAGCTTTAATTGTAAGAAATCAGAATTAATAGCCTATGTATTTAATTTAGTCAGGACTCAGAACTAAAAGACTATCAGTATTATTTTACATTTGATTACCTTATTCAGTTTCTGTACTATTTCTGAATACTAGTGTAAGACCTACCCAAAATTTTTTCTCTTTATTATTTTGAATACGTTTTTGCTACTTTTTAAAATTTTCAATCCTGTTAAAGCGATATAATCTGCGAAAAATAACTTTTGTTACTCGTGAGCTGTTTTTGAGGCGGCTTTTCTGTATGTATGCACGCAGAGAAAACCATCTCTCTGAGAGCGCACGAGTACTGGATAGTTTAAAATCACTTGAATGTTTAAACTGATAAGATTTAAAAATAAGTGAAAATGATAAACTTTAGTTATGCTGCAATGCTGGCCCGATTGTGCAAGTGACAATTCCGCCATGTCCCGACTCCTAAACGCGAGTCTAGTATCGACCCTGCAGCGCTTGACGCTTGCTTCGAGCAACCCATTTTTAGAGACAGAGAGAGAGAGAAGGACGCAGCACCGCTGAACACTTGTGTGGTTTGTGAAATTGCGTCTCTGAGAAAGTTTTAAAATTATTGATTTGATTTTATAATCTGTGTGGATCCATTTAGGCTACTCATACAATCTACATGCTAAAGTGAATCAATGTTTGCGGGAAAATTTCCCGCATTATAATTGGAAGACCTGTGGGAATTATTAAAGGGGTGGTATAATGAATAATGATAATAAGTCTCTGTTGTCCCCAGAGTGTGTATGTGAAGTTTTAGCTCAAAATACCCCACAGATCATTTTGTACAGCAAGTTAAGTTTGTCCCTTTTTGAGGGTCAGTCTAAACACGTCATTTCGTGTGTGTCCCTTTAAATGCAAATGAACTGCTGCTCCCAGCACAGAGGCGGAGCTTCAAAAGCTCCTCTGTGTGTGTGTGTGTGTGTGTGTGTGTGTGTGTGTGTGTGTGTTAGCAGTCTGATTACCTCACGCAGACAAGCACTAAAATGTCAGAAATTCTTCTGCCTTTTATGTTTAAACTGGAGTCGGTCAATGATGGAGAAACTCAAGAAGAAGTGACAAAAGTCTTCTCGTGGAGGGAGCTCTGGACTGGAGTATGGTTTCCACGACCTCAGTCTAGAGACCATATTCTATGAGCTGGGCCCCTGAGGCCCACAGTTTCCACAACTTCGGGCGAGGGTGATAAATCGTGCCCCCTGCTTGAGACAATAGGTCCCTCCTGATCAGAATCTCCATCAGAGAGCCGTCTAGAAGGGACAACAAGTCTGAGAACCAAACTCGGGCCAGCCAGTACAGGGCTACTAATAGCACCATACCAGCGAACCCTCTCCAGAACTCCCGGGAGCAGAGATATCGGAGGAGAAGCGTACAGGTGTAGCCTGGGCCACACCTGAACCATCGCATCCAGCCCCAGGGGAGCTGGATGCGTGAGGGAGAACCACATGGGACAGTGAGTTGTCTCTGAAGATGCAAATAGGTCTACTTGTCTGCATGGACAACACATCGGTGGTCTCCTACATCAACCATCAGGGGGGGGTCTGAGCTCTGAGGTCAAGTCACTTATGCAAACTGGCTCACCAGATGCTTCTGTGGGCCCAAAGGAAATCAATGTCTCTCAGGGCAGTATATATAAAGTTGAGGCTGAGGCCCTGGAAATGGAGACTTCACCCCGAGGTGGTGAAGCTCCTATGGGAGAAATTCAGTCAAGCACATGATGGCCTCTCGGGTCTGGGAGGAAGTGTTTGAGAGCTCGAAACACCGCCATCATTTCTAGCCAATTTATGTGCCAAGAAAGATGGTCCTGTCATTGCGCTGAGCGACCACTCATGATCGCCCCCAACCTGTGAGGGAACCATCTTGGTAACACTTTATAATAACTACACGCTAATAATCATTAGTTAAGCATGAGTAAACAGTTAATTCATCATTCATAAAGCATTAATAGACATTAATAAGCAGTTTATAAATACAGCTATAAATGCTCTCTTCTTGATTTACAAGCATATCTATAATTTATTTAATAATTGTATTTTCATCCTTTATTAATTATCAATTTATTATTTCTAAATGAATAATTGCATTTTTTATAAACCAGTTATTTAAGAGTTTTCAGTGGTTCATAAGATTACTTAGAACGTGTAAGTAAATGATTAAGAAACTATTTAAATGTACATTCATACATCTTATTATTCAGACATATAGTGATGGTTACTTATTGTGTTAATAAATGCTTTATTAACATGTATTTATGCTGTAATTCAGGGTTAATTCGGGTAGTTATAAAGCATTTAGTAGTGGTCAGTTAGCTATTTTGTGAGCTAATCTAAAGTGAGGACTATTCATGCCTTGTAAAGCATTTATAAAGGAGATTTGCTCTCCTTTAGCAACAGACATGCTAAGGGCGCTAGGTCCTGTCCAGGAGCTGGCGGCAGCGTGTCCATTGCACATGGCGCCCCAGCCCATGGTGGAGGCATGTGTTGAGAACAACATGCCCGGAAGCTCCTTCCAGGGGCACTAGCCCGTAGAAACTGAGGTTCGACCACGGGGTGAAGGTCTGACGGCAGGTCGGAGTAACTGGTACTCGGAGCACACCGTGTTGCCATGCCCACATCGGGACTCGGTCGCGAAGCCAAAGCTGAAGCGGTCTCATATGAGCAGTCCGAGCGGCGATGTTGCGGCTACGGACGCCATATGCCCCAGGAGCCTCTGAAAAAACTTCAGTGGAACCGCAATCTTGCGCTTGATTGTCTCAGGCAAGTCAGCAGTGACTGAGTTGAGAAGGCGACCAAGTCAATATCGAGAAAAGAGATCCTCTGCACAGGGCAAAGTTTACTCTTTTCCCAGTTGACCCGAAGGCCCAGACGAGCTAGGTGCCGGATCACTGGGTCCCTGTGTTCGCAAACCCGGTCTCGAGAGTGAGCTAGGATAGCCAGTCGCCGAGAAAGTTCAGGATGCGAATCCCGTGTTCCCACAGAGGAACAAGGGCCGCCTCGATAACCTTGGTGAAGGCGCGAAGAGACAGGGCTAGCCCGAATGGGAGAACAGCGTACTGATATGCGCGTCCCCTGACAGCAAACCGTAGGAACGGTCTGAGTCGAAGGAAAACGGAGACACAAAAGTAGGCGTCCTTCAGGTCGATCGCTGCAAACCAATCCTGTGGCCGCACACATTCGAAAATGCGTTTGGCCAAGAGCATCTTGAACGGCAGCCTGTGAAGGGGGCGGTTCAGATGCGCCGGTCCAGGATTGGCCGTAACCCACCGGATTTCTCCGGGACAATGAGGTAGGGGCTGTAAAACCCAGACCTCACTTCGGCTGCAGGGACAGTCTCGATCGTACCCTTCGCCAGTAGGGTAACAACCTCCGCTCTCATGATAGGGGCATAGCCACCGACCATAGTGGAGCGTACTCCCCAGAAACGGGGAGGAGACCGTGCGAACTGAATCGCATAGCCGAGCCTGATGGTTCGTGCGACCCAGCGGGACAGGTTGGGAAGCTCTAGCCAGGCTCCCAAGGACTGTGCCACCGGGGTCACGCGAACCACAGACGTCCCCTCGGTGGTGCAGCGAAGCGGAGTGACCGGCCTGGATGTGGACGGCATAGTGGCCCGGTGTGGGGGCACGGTCATAAACCGCACCCTGACAGAGGAGGCCTGGGAGTGTCTGGCGACAGAGGGGGATGAGAGTAGTATGGCCCGGGGGCGGCACACACTGTTATCCGAGCTCTGGGACAGAGGAGGATAAGAGTGGCGAGGCTCGTAAGCGGCGCGCACTGTCATCCGCGGCCTCTGGGGGCTCAGAGATGGGATACAGCTCTTTGGAGAAGAGGTTCTCCCCCGGCCCTCCACCGGGGGAAGGAGTGGCCCTGCAACAACTTCCTGAAAGAACTGCAACCCACGTCTGAGCTGCCGCGTGCACGCTCTTTTTGTGAGAGAAAAGCTCGCAGCAGTGCTGAAGCGCCCAGGGAGAAACACACACGCTGTTCAGTTCAGCAGGCAGGAATATGAAACTCGCTGGAACTCGCTGGAACTCGCCATCACACACCAACACCGACTGGAAGCTGCTCGTCTAGAAGATTCTCGAAGATAGTTAGAGAATAGGCTGCAGGAGTGAAGAAAACCTTTTGGCTCCGAAGCGAAAACATATCTGCATATTGCCGGCATTCTCCTTTTATACCCACGCCATGCAAATTCCACAGACCCATGGCATTTCTTTGCCATTGGCTCGTTTTGTAATACTCGAAGTCGATAGGCTTTCTAAGCGAAACCCCATTTGTCGTCATCCGATGGAACTCGGAGTGACAACGAAAGGGAACTAAAACAATTCAGATAACTTACAATGTGTCAGTTTTGTAAACTCAGAAGAAAAATAAAGTTATAAATACATATAAAATAACTAATTTGTTTAATTTAAATGTACCCTTCTCAAACCAATTAATTATTTTGAGCATTAGGGTTTACAGTGAAGATTTTAGGAATGAGGCTTTATGATGCTTTATAGACTTCATAAACAAGTTTTGCACACGTCACTCAAACACAGAACTAGGAAGCAGGAAGAGTTCGAGAAAGAGAAATGAAAGTGCAGTCGAGCTGTTGTGTGTTTGTGTCTCAGTATTCATGCAGTAAAATGGCAGAAGCCAGATTTTCTCAGGATGATATTTAAATTTATGATTATTTAAAATAACATCCAGTTGTGTGGGACTATGGTTGAAATTGAACTCCACAGGAATAAGGCTGTCCAGGAGCAGGAATGAGGAACCTGATTTACAGACTTGCAGATGAACCTGTTTTGCTCACGTCACTCAAACACAGAACCAGGAAACAGGAATCACATGAGATCAGAGAAACTGGAGTGTAGTTGAGCTGTTGTGTGTTTGTGTCTCAGTATTGATGCAGTAAAATGGCAGAAGCCAGATTTTCTCAGGATGAGCTCATGTGTCCAGTGTGTCTGGATCTCCTGAAGGATCCAGTGACCACTTCCTGTGGACACAGTTACTGTAAGATGTGTATTACAGGCTGCTGGGATCAGGAGGATGAGAAGAGAGTCTACAGCTGCCCTCAGTGCAGACAGACCTTCAGGCCAAGACCTGCTTTAGCTAAAAACACCATGCTGGCTGAACTGGTGGAGAAACTGAAGAAGACTAAACTTCCTGCTGACTGTTACGCTGGAGCTGGAGATGTGCAGTGTGACGTCTGTACTGGAAGAAAACACAAAGCCGTCAAGTCCTGTCTGGTGTGTCTGGACTCTTACTGTCAAAGTCACCTTGAACAACATGAGAGTTTGTTTAAAGGAAAGAGACACAATCTGACTGAAGCCACTGGACGACTGCAGGAGATGATCTGCCAAACACATGATAAACTCCTTGAGGTTTTCTGCCGCACTGACCAGAAGTTTATATGTGTGCTGTGTACGATGGAGGAACATAAAAACCACGACACTGTATCAGCTGCAGCGCAGAGGACAGAGAAACAGGTATGAAACTAGACACTGATGAAATAATGTTGACACTGTTTATATTGGCACCATATGATCAGGAAAATCTAATTTTCCTTGAGCTTTTGACATATAAGACGTCATCATACAATAAGAATATCCTGTAAGTTTCAGAACTGAAATCTTCCTTGTTAGTCTAAAAACAGGGTTTATTGTAACCAAGCCCAGCGAACAGCTGGTTGTGGAATGTGCCTCTTTATGACGTAATAGTGCAACTAAAGACCGTCTCTACAGAAGTAAATCAACGCCTTCTTCATGATCGTAACGTTGGCCCCGCCCACTGGCCTGTTAGTGAGATCAGATCACGAGGAGAGAAGATGCAGGATCACTCGACTAAAAACAACATTACCTTCTAAAGGATCCTAATGCTAGGAATGTGGTTATTTATGTGAATGTCCCAGTTGAGCATTGTTTATTTGTATTCGCTAAATTTCACTGTGGATTCTTTAGTAAATTAATTGCAATTTATTTAAACTGTGAATAAATTATAAATAGGAAACGATAAAAAGGATACTTTCAATCGCTGGAACTGTCAATCAAACAGTGTGAGTTTATCAGTGACTTACTCTGAGGCTAAAATGCAAATGTCTTTTATTTCTAAATTATGACAATTTTTTATGTCAAAATCATTCTAACATTATAAGTGCACACCCCAGGAAACATTATAAAATTATAAAACAATGCAGTTCATGACCCCTTTAATAAATCAACATAAAATAAAGGAAAATATTCACCCATTGTTTGACAAAATATATCTCTGTCAAGAATAACGCAAGTTAAATGCAGCGACAGACGAAGAGTTTCTGTTCAGTAAATCTGACTCAGTCCAGTTAAACTATATAGATCCGCAGGTCTGTTATTCAGCAGAAACTCTGTCATTGTGAAGCTTTACATCTGTGTGTCAGTTTCACTTTTATGATACTTATGCTTGCAGTGTGAAACAGAACTTATGCTTCATGTAAATTCATGTGCAATGGTGGTAAAACTGATCCATCATCCCTTCAGGAGTTTGAGCCTCCAGCCATTGGTTATTAATTCTACTGTCACTGGATTGAACTCTTCACATGATGATATAGTGAGAGTATAAAGTGCATCTCTGTTATTGGTTTGTGCTGCAGAAGCAACTGAAGGAGACGCAGAGGTCGTTCCAGCAGAGGATCCAGCAGAGAGAGAAAGATCTTCAGCAGCTGAGAGAGGCTGTAGAGTCTCATAAGGTGAGTCTGGAGAAGAAGAGAAGTTTGAGAAGTCTCAGGCAGGACTCACTGAAGCTCACTGTGTGATTGTGATGTGTGTCCTAACAGCGCTCTGCACACACAGCAGTGGAGGACAGCGAGAGGATCTTCACTGAGCTCATCCGCTCCATTGAGAGAAGCCGCTCTGAGGCGACACAGCGGATCAGAGATCAGAAAAAGACTGCAGTGAGTCGAGCTGAAGAACGACTGGAGCGACTGGAGCAGGAGATCAATGATCTGAGGAGGAGAGACGCTGAGCTGGAGCAGCTTTCACACACACAGGATCACATACGTTTCCTGCAGGTAACAGAGATCCAGAAGAACAGGACAATATATTTTTTGTTATTTAAAGAGCGTTACTAATATGCGCCTATAGGCCGGTCCACATCGCGCGAACACTTTGTCCCGTCGATGGTTTGCTTGCACGCTTTAACCTCGCGCACGAGCAGATCCGTTTCCTCGCTAGAGAAGCGTTCAGTTTTTCCGCTTGTAAATTCCTCCATGTAAACAGCGAATCCGCCATGGCGCGAGTGCAACTGGCTTTTAAAGGGAATGGGAGATGAGAGTCTGATTGGTTTATTGCACGTTATGCCCAAAACACAAACATTACTCATTAAGAGAATAGGGACGACCCTTTTAGACCATGCGCCGGGAGCGCCGGCCATTTTTCCCATCGTTAAACCAGCAATAGTGGATTCAGACACTCTCTAAGTGCACTTGCACTGTGCGCTTTAGACCATGAGCTTAGATCGGTAAAATAGGCCCAATGTGTATTAGAGTTAAATGATGACAGAGTTGATCAAACGATAAAAGCTTGATCATCAAGGTATTCTTTTTGTAACAGACCTTTAAGAAATGTAATAGCTTCTCCCACTCTACAAATCAATGCTCTAACTGCAGAATGAAAGTAATAATTCATTTATGACGACGGTAAAAAGTAGCAGTGCCCCGGTAAAGACTTGGGCTCATCAGTCCACAGTAACCAGGGTCTGAAACAGCACTATTGTGGCTCTGACCACACACAACACACAGTAGTGGCCAAACGTTTCATCTTTTAAATGACCCTACAAGTTTGCTTAAACCATCAAATTATGAGGAAAATAATTTTTTTTTGGCTGTACAGCAGATCTAGAAGAAAATAGTGTCATTGTCCAGCTTAAGTCAGTTCAGTGTTGATTCATTTTCATTGTAAAAATCATTAGTTCCCTTTCGTCCTGGGAACTCCAACGTGTCGTCGGGGAGTTCCCTGACGAATTGGGATCACGCTAGTGAGACCAATTGCCTTCGAGTGCCAATGAAAATTGGCATGCAAGATTTGCATTCCGCGACCCGCCTACCAACGCGGGTGTAAAGGGCGGAAGTAAACATTGCGCAATGCTTTTAGCTTCGGAGCCGTCCGATTGTGTCCTCTCTGAGCGAGTGAGCTTTAAGAAATGTATTTTTCTTACAACTACGAGTCTGCTGTTTCGGGAGGGGATCTCTCTGTGTTGGTGAGATGGCGTTTCAGCGACCGCGCGGTTTCCTGTCTGCCGGCTGCGTCTATATGCTGTTAAATCAAAAGCTGTTTTCACAGCTGGTAAACGGTTGAGTGCGCACAGCGGGCTTGCAGTTTCCCCGCTGTGTTGCCGCGTTGGGTCCCTGTGTGCTTCAGCACGATAGAGAGTGTACTTTCTTACTGAAAGAGCAACACGAGTGAAGATCGCGTCCTTTTCAGGATGACGTTTCACTTGTGTGTTTCTGGATGCGATCGTTTCCTGTCCTTATTTGACGGCCACGTTCATTGTTTCACATGCCTAATCAGTGTGTGAGACTATGTCCGTGGGTGGTTCATGTTCTCTTAGGAGTGCATGACCACGTCGGCACGTTGTTCGCCTCCCCTTTCTCGTAAAGGTTGGAGCAGCTCAGCGTGCCGTGTGCCATCGAGCGCTGGCTGACAGCGCGGGTTGTCACAGCAACCCAGCGCGCGTCATTCGGCGCTCAAGATGCGTGGTCAAGATCAAGACTCGCGTGCCTCTATGAGGTGAGTCCCTTTGCTTATTTCCCGATCCAGTTTCTCTTCTGGTGCACCAGAGGAGGGCTGCTTTGGCGAATAACATTGGTGATCTGAGGGTTTCAGTGAGCACGAACCCCTCACTCCTCTAGCGCATCGCAAACATGCTGAGATTGTGTTCGTGGGTGGTTTATGCTTTCTTATGAGAGCATGACCACGTCGGCACGTTGTTCGCCTGCCTGAGGGCTTGAGCGTCCAGCGTGCCGTGTGTCATCGAAGCGATGGCCACGTTCACTATCTTGCATGCCTGGTTGACGGCCACGATCACGGTTTCACATGCCTAATCAGTGTGTTGAGACTGCGTTCGTGGGTGGTTCATGTTCTCTTAGGAGTGCATGACCACGTCGGCACGTTGTTCGCCTCCCCTTTCTCGTAAAGGTTGGAGCAGCTCAGCGTGCCGGGCTCCGTCGAGGCTTTCGAATGGGTTTCTGGTCCTTCTCATGAGGGACCAGGCATTTCATTCTGGGCCCCAGGGAGGACAGATGTCGATCGCTACATCGGAGAGAGGGCGGTTATACTCTGAAAATGATGAGCATGAGTTCCTACTATAATGGTGTGTTCTCATGCTGAAGATTCAGACTTAACGGCCACACTTTCCTGGGCTGTTCTAAAGTTCCTGGATGTGTGTGAAGAATTTTGGCAGTATGGAAGCATTTTGGTGCCAATATGGCAAGCCAAACATGCCTAAATCTGCAGAAGTTTTTCCTCTCTCACTACCACTGCACGTGCGTAGTTCTAATTCGGGGGTTGAGCTGTGCTTAGTGACTGACCGTGATTAGTCACAGCGCTTGCCCTCGGTTAGACGATGTCCACACTGGTGGTCCAGAAGCACCTCAAAACCAGCCCGCTCGGAGTTTGTTTTTCCCCAGCAAAGGGAAGGGAAACAACCCTGAGAGGAGCGACCCAGAGTATGTGACGTTCTGCTCTTTGGGAGTGCGTGTCATTACCTCTCCTTCCCCCGGGGGAGGGCCGGGTGGAGAATTTCGTTTCTGTTCCGCTGCTGGTTATCCTGTAATCAGCGGTACCCAAAGTTTGAGCAGTCCACTTCCTCTGAGTCGTTCACGGGCCCCATCGCTCAGATGGCAGTGAGGGCTGCGGCCTTGTCACTCTCGTCTCTCACTGGGTGAGGGGAAACCAGGACTCGATGCCCCCGGGCCTCGTTCCTCGTTTCCCCTCACGGTCGAGACTGGCAGTATAATAAGACCAGTTTCCTCCGTCCGAGAGGTTCAGAATGGCAGTGCGTGCCGCCACCGAGCTGCACCACTCCCGTTCCCCTCTCCCCAGTTTGCAGATAGCAGTGACGCAGCCTCGGGTGCGTCGCTCCGGTCTGCAGCTGGGCCCGGAGGCGCAGAGACCAGGACACGAGGAGTCGGGGCCTCGTTCTTCGTCTCTCCCCCTCCCTTCGCCACAGGGCAGCCCGCAGCAGAAAGCCTACGAGCTCTCTCTGCCGTCTGCCCCACGGTGGACTGCCCAGACCCCGCTTCCAGTGGCTACATTGCCACTAGAGCCGGGTCCCGGCCTTCCACCTCGCTGCCCCTCCGCGGGTACGCCGGTGGTTCGGGTGGGCTTATTGGGTTGGTACCTGGAAGCCTGGCTGGCGCTTCCGGGTCTGTCCCGATGGCTCGCCCGCACCATTCGGTTCGGCTATGCAATTCAGTTTGCACGCCGGCCTTCCAGATTCAGGGGCATTCACTTCACCCGTGTGCGGTCATTGGATGCCCCTGTCCTGCGGAAAGAGGTCGATGTCCTGCTGGCGAAGGACGCGATCGAGCCGGTCCTTCCTGCCGAGATGAGGTCCGGGTTTTACAGCCCCTACTTCATTGTACCCAAGAAAGGCGGTGGGTTACGACCAATCCTGGACCTGCGAGTTTTGAATCGGGCCCTGCACAAACTGTGCAAGGTCAGGGAGGACGAGGAGCAGGTCCTGTTAGTGGCGCCGTATTGGCCCACCAGGACTTGGTTCACGGAACTCATGCTCCTCACGACAGCCCCTCCTTGGCCGATTCCTCTGAGAAAGGACCTCCTTTCTCAGAGATGGGGCACTCTATGGCACCCGCGTCCAGACCTCTGGAAACTCCATGTCTGGTCCCTGGACGGGACGCGGAGGTTCTAGGTGGTCTACCACAGGCAGTGGTAAACACCATCACTTCTGCTAGAGCCCCCTCTACGAGGCGCCTCTATGCGTTGAAGTGGAACCTATTCGTCGAGTGGTGTTCCTCCCACCAAGAGGACCCCCGAACTTGCCCGATCAGAGTCGTGCTTTCCTTCCTACAAGATGGGTTGGAGCGAAGGCTGTCTCCCTCCACCCTCAAAGTGTATGTTGCCGCAATAGCCGCACATCACGATGTAATAGAAGGTAAGTCCGTAAGGAAGCACGACCTGGTCATCAGATTCCTCAAGGGTGCCAGGAGGTTAAATCCACCTCGTGTTTTGCACTCTGTACCCTCTTGGGACCTAGCTCTGGTACTGAGAGCTCTTCAAAGTCCTCCCTTTGAGCCCTTGCTGAAAGTGGAGCTGAATATCCTGTCCATTAGACAGCGCTCCTGTTGGCATTGGCCTCTTTTAAGAGGATCGGGGATCTGCAGGCTTTTTCGGTCGACGAATCGTGCCTAGAGTTTGGGCCGGGCCTTTCTCGCGTGATATTGAGACCCCGGCCCGGATATGTGCCCAAGGTTCCTACCACTCCATTCGTGGATCAGGTAGTGAACCTGCAAGCGCTGCCCCAGGAGGAGGCAGACCCAGCCCTAGCTTTTCTCTGTCCAGTCTGCGCCCTGCGGGTTCAGACAGAACGCAAAGCTTCAGGACCTCAGATCAGCTCTTTGTCTGTTACGGAGGCCAGCAGAAGGGGAAGGCCGTCTCCAAGCAGAGGTTAGCTCACTGGTTAGTGGATGCTATCACCCTAGCGTATGAAGCTACGGGTGAGCCTTGTCCTCCCAGGTTGCGTGCTCACTCTACGAGAGGTGTTGCCGCCTCCTGGGCGTTGGCTCAAGGCGCCTCGCTGACAGACATTTGTAGAGCTGCGGGCTGGGCGACACCGAACACGTTCGCTAGGTTCTATAGCCTACGTGTGGAACCTGTTTCCTCCCGAGTACTCGCTACGGCCAGTGGTGCGAGGGAATAGGTTGTGTCGGCTTGCTACGCCACTCCGTGCCTCAGCCGGATACGTGCGTCTTTCGCTCCGTTGGCGCCCTACGTTGGTTAGCCTCGTGCGTTCCTCCATCACCCCTTTGGTGCCAGGCGTGGCGGTCCGCCGGCGCCAGGTCTACTACCTCTAAGGGAGTTGTTGTGTAGACTGGGTGTTATGTCCAGTGGTCTCTTCGGTGACCCATTATGCCACGTGCAGTCCAGCCGTGTCTTCCCCTTGACTGACTCGTTCTGTCGTCCCTGTTGAGTACGCTCCCACTCCCCTTGGATGGGACTACCTCAGGGACTGCCATATGTTTCACTATCCCCCTGGGCTAGTACATATGTGTATTCCAGAACTTCTTCAGGCATGTGGCTTCCGCAGCGTTCCCTTCCCCCTTTTACGGGTTGGGCACGCTTTCCCAGTGTTATCCAATCCACTGTGTGGGTCTTGCGGAACAGCAGTGTGACTCCCTTGCTAGCTCCCGTAATTTGTGAAACTGCTTAGGGTAGCTTAGCTTGGCGCTGGAAGGGGCCAGCACCATGGCGTTTTGTTAGGGATCCCAATTCGTCAGGGAACTCCCCCGACGACACGTTGGAGTTCCCAGGACGAAAGGGAACGTATCGGTTACGTATGTAACCCTCGTTCCCTGAGTACAGGGAACGGAGACGTGTCGTCCCTTCGCCATGTTGCTGTACCTTCGCTGAGGACTGGACACCGTTCGGCTCCTCAGCGAAAAGCATTGCGCAATGTTTACTTCCGCCCTTTATACCCGCGTTGGTAGGCGGGTCGCGGAATGCAAATCTTGCATGCCAATTTTCATTGGCTCGTTTTAATTCACTCAAAGGCAATTGGTCTCCCTAGCGTGATCCCAATTCGTCAGGGAACTCCCCGACGACACGTCTCCGTTCCCTGTACTCAGGGAACGAGGGTTACATACGTAACCGAGACGTTATCTATTTAGTTCATTTATCTATACAGCCGCTCTAGAGAAAACAGTGATGTCATCGTCCAGCTCAGTTCAGTTCTCAGACAACGGTGTCAATGCGACAGATCAACAATATTGTTGAATATTAAATGATAAAAAAGGCAAACTACAGCTACAGGTTTTAGAAAAACTAAAAAGCTCACAGGAAAGAAAAATCACACATTGACTGCAACATAGTCAGTTATTAATATTTCATCGTCCTCTCTTGTTTTTTCGTGTATTCATAATTTATTTGTATGACAGCCTGGCTAAAAATTACGTCTGTAAAATTTGTCATGTTTCATTTTAACTGTAAAAGAGGAGACATATATCAATAGAAAAGGATTCCACTGCATCAATACTAATTTGTGATAATTTTGCACAATACAATGATTTTTTTTAAATACATTTAAATATTAAAGTTTCCGTGTCTTAATTAAATGATTTAATTATAATTACATTAAATGATTGGTGTCGTGCTGCAGTGACATCACCCTCGCAGGCTCACTATTGGCTGATTCAGGGGTTGAGGGCGGCCATTTTGGGTTGACATCATTGTAGTCCTTAGTTTGCAGCACTTAATTCCCACTTCAGAAAGCACTTGAGAATCAGTCTTAGACTTTGCTGAAGTTGCTTTTAGCTTCTTTATAAACGTCTTCAGCTCTTAGAGAAGTCCTGCTTTATGCTAAGAATGTTTTGACACTAAAGTTAAAGCTTGAGACTATTCTTAAGAGCATTTCTGAGAAGTTGTATATATACGGGCCCAGGATCATAGTGGACAAGAGCAAGAGACTCTCAGAGAAACATTTGATGAGAGCAGAATGAGCCGCTGACTGAAGTGTTGATCTGTGTGTTCGGTTATTATTATATAATCATCAGTCAGACTCTCATCTGATCATATTCACTCACATTTCAACTTTTTTACATCATTTTTCCTTCTGATTTCTTACATAATGGGGAAATCAGTGAACTTGATGGTGGCAATTATAGTTAACAAAAATATCATATATTAATGCCTTTTCATGACACAAATATGAATTTTTCATAACTTTGCTCTTTAATTCTGTGAATAAAACAAAGGCTTTAATGACATTCCCAGTGTATTAAACTGTTTTAGAGTCTAATTTAGACATTATAATACAGCTAAGATGGAGATTGATGCATTTGATCAAGATAATGATATGAGTATTTAAAATATTTAATGTGAGAAAGATGTTGGTATGTTACTGACATCTTGATTTTATTTCAACATGTGAATGAATCACTTTCATGTTTCCTGGAAACTTTTTTTTATTTTTTATATATATATTTTTTTTTGCTTTATTTCACTGTTGCTGTCACGAACTGCTCTGAGACCAGAAAGTTTTAGATCCAAACGCAGCTTTAATAAGAAGGGGAAAATCCAGACACGTAATCAAAAGTACAGGCAACAGGTCGAAGTCCAGGTATGCAGTCCATACAAATAAACACACAAGGTTGAGGACAAGGCAAACGGGTAATCCAGAGCCAGCCAGAGTCCAAGAAACCGAAATACAGGGAACCTCAGAGATGCAGTGCAACACATACAAAACTACACAGTGATGAATGATAAACCATTATAAGGGATGAGCTAAACAAGGTAATGATAAACAGGTGAAGGTGATCAGTGATGATGAGTCCGGCCAGTGAGTTATGGGAAATATAGATGTGAGGGAAAATAACAATCTGAAGTGGAGTGCCCTCTGATGACCGTTACAGTCGCCATCATTAATTTTAAAAAATTTAATTTCAAAACACTACATATTTGGATTTATGATGGCAGTATTTCTAATAAAATGATGTATTTCTCAAGCTAATATTGAGCTTAAATTGATAGTAAGTTCACATATAGTGTAAGTGGCAAACGCTAGAACTTGTATCTCTAATGTGACATAATGAATATGAGAAGAATGAAGCTGATGCTGTGAAAGTGCTGGATTGAGGAGAGTTACTAAAGATTATCAAGAGCCGCACACATCTGACAGTAGAGCCGGTTATTGATGAAGTGTGGAGGTGATGAGCTTTGATTTGTGTTTTCTGTAGAGTTTCCAGTCTCTCTCAGCTCCTCCTGAATCTACAGACGTCAATGACAATCCCTTCAGTTCTCTCTCCTCTTTTGATGGCGTGAGAGAATCTGTCCGTCAGCTGAGAGACAGACTGGAGGATTTCTGCAAAGAGAAGAAGATCTCTGACAGAGGTAAAGTCCTGGAGATTCTGCTCTCAGAAATGATCCTCCATCATCTCAGATCATGTAGAAGATCATATTAGAAATGTCTTAGGAACGGATGCAGGATCATTTTCTCTAGACATGATAATCACACTCTTCATGTCTGTTGATTTCCACAGTCACTCTCTCCAACATTGTTCCCAGGACCAGGAACGACTTCCTACAATGTAAGTCACTGAGAAAACCAGCAGAAACTCTCTGAGTGTGTTCATGTTCTTCCTGGAGAAGTGAAGAAAACATGACAGAAGAGGTTTATAGTTGATCATGTAAATGATGATTTGCACAGGATATCTGGTAAACTGAGACACTGATGATATATTGAACATAAAGAGTTCAGCTACACTGAAAAATATATAACATTGATTCACCTGAAAAATTTGAGGTAATAATTCACATAAAGTATTTTTGAACTTGAGTCCCCATAAATAGGTCAATTTGGTTGAATTTGTAATTTTACTTGCCAAGGAAAATATATTGTTTAAACAGTTGGAGCCAGCTATTCAAAGTATTTTTGGGATGTCATATTTTGAAATTATACACAGTCAAAAACTAGTTTGTTCAACTTAATTAAATTAAGGGCAACTTTTCCACACAATTAGTTTAGGTCTGTACAACAAGACTAGTTTTGATGAACCAACCTAATAGATTAAAGTCTTATATAATAACTAGCAAAAGCTTGCTCGCATGCTAAAGACAATTATGTTTATTATTATTTCATATTTATTATAAATGTGAGTCATTATTGTTTTACAGACAGGGTTTAGATTAAGCCAGGTTTAGGCCTTTGTTCAATTAGGGTATAAATATCTTTTATAAACAAGCCTTAGAAAAAAACACTACTGGTGTTCATCTTGAGACAAAACAATGGCACTGTCATATTTTAAGATTTTCAGTGCAAGTTGTTTCAGTTAAAACGGCTCAAACGTGTATTTTAGTCTGGGACTAGCTTAAGCCTTGTCTGTGAAACTGGGGGTATATGTAACAGAGACTGGTCTCAGGGTACGTTTACACAGCAACGATGAACATAAAATGGAAAAGTATTTCCATTGTGTTTTTCACATACAGACGACAACATTGTCACTGAGTTTTCAGACCCACAAAACTCCATTGTCGTGTAAATGAACGGCCAAAAAAGCATAACAAAATTAACTTTTGAAATGTTATAATTGTGTACATTCTATACTTTTGTAAAATTGTTCAATGACCCTAATTAAAGGGCAACATTTCCGCGTAATTAGTTTAGGTCTGTACAACAAGAATAAAACAAGTTCTTTTAAACAAATAATGTTTTGTTGAACCAATTTAATAGAAAAGAGACTAGTCTCAGTTCTGGCATGAGCGCAGTTATTCCTCATCAACTGAAGCAACACACATGATGTTTGTCATGAAGCCTGTCAGGGTTGAGGTAAGGGATGAGGCGAGGACTCAATGATGCAGAGTTTGGCTTTTTATTGATAGAAAAAAACTGGAGGAAAACATGAGTGGAAACAGGATTAGACAGGGCTGGACACGAGAGGTACAATACATTCAATGACGATCTGACACTGGACTGCAAACACAGAGACAATAAGTATGGAGTAAACAAGGCAGGTACCGAGGGAGGACAGGTGGGGCAAATGAACCAATAATCAGATAACAAGATGGCCGGTGTTAGACAACAGACATGCGAGCACATGACACAAAGACAGACATGACAAGCCATGTGCTCACACTAAACAAAACACGAACACACAGCTAATGAGAACACTTATAATCCACGTGTTCACACACAACATGACAACATGAGCCGGTGCTACACAGAGCTCAACAACACACACGGGCAGAAGAGCGTAGGCTACGACTGAGTGAACTCAAAACCGCACACTCGCACAAGTTAAAGTGAAAGTGACGTGTGAAGACCTAATATGGTGTCCCGTACTCAGAATGTGTCCTCTGCATTTAACACATCCAAGTTAGTGCACACACATTAGGAGCAGGGAGCAGTGAACACACACACACACACACACACACACACACAGCCATTTTCTGTGGCGCCGGGGAGCGATCGGTCGGTGTCTTGCTCAAGAACCAGTGTGTGTGTGTAACTCATTACAAGAAACATGAGTTACTTAATCAGATTACTTTTTAAAGTAACTAAAGTAACGCATCACTTTTGTAAAAGCTTTACGAGGCATAACGAGTATTTAGATATAAGAGTATTTAAATATTTAGATGAGCTCACAAAAATAGTTAACTGACAACTACTAAATGTTTTGTAACTTCCTGAATTAATCATGAATTACAGTAGGAATCCGTGTTAATAGAGGATTTATTAACACACTGAGTAACCATTACTATATGACTAAATAATAGTTTATTAATCATTTACCTACACTTTCTAAATGATCTTATGTACCACTAACAACTCATTAATAACTGTTTTAATAATGTAATACATAATTTAGAAATGATAAATTGATCAGTAATAAAGTATGAAAATAAAATTATTAAACACGTTATATTATATCATTACATATATTTTTATAAATCAAGAATAAAGCATTTATAGCTGTATTTATAAACTGCTTATTAATGTCTATTAATGTTTTATAAATGATGAATAAACTATTTACTAATGCTTAACTAATGATTCATAACATGCCGTTATTATAAAGTGTTACAAGTTCATTTAACAAGCAGCAAAAGTCATTTTTACAGTGTACATTAAAAGATGAGACAGATTCATAATTCCTGATTCTGATGTGTTTTATCTCCATCAGATTCCCATCAGCTCAATCTGGATCTGAACACAGTGAATAAACGCCTCCGTCTGTCTGAGGATAACAGAGTGATTACTGGCACTTCTTTCCTAAAGCTTCAGCCGTATCCTGATCATCTAGACAGATTTAATGTGTGTCAGCAGGTGTTGTGTAGAGAGAGTGTGTGTGGACGCTGTTACTGGGAGATTGAGTGGAGTGGGAGATATGTGTGTATATCAGTGTCATATAAGAGCATCAGCAGGAAGGGATTGGATAATGAGTGTGTGTTTGGATATAATGATCAGTCCTGGAGTTTGATCTGCTCTCCCTCCAGTTACTTATTCAGACACAATAACATAGAGACTGAACTCCCAGTAAAGCCCATCATCAGTAGAACAGGAGTGTGTGTGTGTTACAGTAGAACAGGAGTGTGTGTGTGTTACAGTAGAACAGGAGTGTGTGTGGATCCCAGTGCAGGAACTCTGTCCTTCTACAGAGTCTCTGACACAATGAGCCTCATCCACACAGTCCAGACCACATTCACTCAGCCGCTCTATCCTGGGTTTAGGGTTTATTATGGATCATCAGTGAAACTGTGTTGATGAATCAGGATACACTGTAGAGAGATTCTACCCATAATGCTTTGAGCTGCATGATAAATCATAAACACTGAGATGTTATAGAGTCTCTTACTTTCTCTTTATTACATTAATAACATGTTCAGATTATGGTTGAGTAAGTGTGAGCTTGAAGCTGATATAATATTCCCCGCTAAACTCAATCATTTAAATGTTGTTTTGTCTCATTATCTCTTATGTGTGTCTTGTGTAAATGTGTATGCGGATGTATATGTGCATATGTACACATGAGAGATTGTGTGTTTGTTTCTTTCCTCTTTTGTTCATTCACGAAAAGTCAAATAAAAAGTGTTATACTACAGGGCCGTTGAATGCTTGAATCTGATTGGTTGACGAACGTTCTAAGATGTGCAGTTATTTTCAGGGAAACGCACGGCTAAAGTAGTTCCGGCAGGTTTGACCGCATTACAGCTCCATATCACTGCGCGTAGCTGACTGTAATACATACCTGTCAGGTTTTGGATTTGAAAATAAGGGACATTTTCCGGCACCCACCGCGAGCTGTCCCACCACCCCAACCAAGCTCCAGTATCCCTTACATTTTAAGACAGGTGTTATAGCCTAAATGAAAACACACACATATATATATATATATATATATATAGGCCTATGTATGGTAACGTTATAGGGTATTAAGAGCATTTATTTAAAGGCTTATTTGCATATTTTCTGTTCATTTAACATTGCTTGTCTTTACATTTACATTTTATTTTCATTCCACACATTATTTTTAATATAGCTTTTCTTTTACAGTTTTTCTTTTCATTTGCAGTTTTTCTTTTCATTTCACATAACTTTTCTTTACTCTTTTAGTGAGTTATTGAACAAATTTGTTGCAGACTTTGTAGTAACTGTTTTGGAAGGAGTGTATTGTGGGCTGGGCCAGAGTGGTTAATTTTACATGAGAGTAGAGCAAACAGTTCTGTTGTCTGACGTCATCCTATTCTCTGTAACAATCTTTCGTACCATACTAAGCACCCTTTCTCGTGTGCTGATCGACATAGGCGGCGGCCTACATCATTCCTTCCCCGTGTGAGATGCTAAAGTCGCAGTTACAAAACTTACAAAACGCGTGACTGTCCCCCACCCTGCTTCTCCTTCAGAAAAGTAAATTTGCTATCCCATTGATCGCGGTATTTAGTACATGAGGGTTTTGTTTTTTTGGCAGGAGTGCCTAGCTCTGTCATAGCATCCATCATCCGTCTCTGTTTTTGTTAGTTTTTTGTTTCCCCCGCGTTGTCACTCATTATCTGACCTCACACACTTACCTCGCGACAACTGCCACCTATGGTTCCTGTAACGTTAGTTATCGCGAGGCTGGTGACAGAGCTCAGATTGGGAAGGTTTTTTTTTTTTTTACTCCGCCCGGGGTATTATTATTTTTCAATAACGCAGGTTAAAATACGGGAGATTTACGGAAAAATCCTAATACGGGAGGACGGTGGGAAAGAAGGGTTAAATACGGGACTTTCCCGGCCAAAACGGGATACTTGACAGGTATGCTGTAATATCGGAAAATAGGATACAATTCATAACAAGAAAAAACATGCAGCCCCATGCGCTTGATCTGCAATATCTGATGCATAACTTCACAATCAATGGAAACATGCAGTTTAATTGTAATAAATAAAGTATATAGTCCTATCTTTAATCAATAGAAAATTAAACTGAATATATAAATAAATTGATAGTCCGGCTGCACGGGTTTTCATAATTATTGCAGATAATATAACAAATAAATAATTATTGATAGGCCTACTTCTTAAAAGGGCTTTATTAGGCTAGTCTACTGTCAATAATAGAAAACAAGAATGAACGAATCAGGAGCTCTTTGGTCATTTCTGACTGAAAAATTTTCTGTTTCAAAATGTTAAAAATCACAGCTTCATCTGAATGTTAGAAACTTGGTGACTTCTATGGCATTGGGTATGTGAACACAAAAGAAAATTGAGGTCATGATCCGAGCAGTTTAAGTGGTCGTAAAGAAAAGTCACACTTGTGCTCTTCTGTCAGAAATGACCGACCATAGGAAATGAATGGGAAATTGACAAAAACACAAAGTCTGAGAACTTTTGTGTGTACAATCTACAAATCGGCCACGATGCAGAAAAAAAGTGTTCAACAATGAAGGGGTGACACTCTAAAACACCAAGAGTGCAAAACAGACACACTCACACACACACACACACACACACACACACACACTTTTTATACACATACACACCAATGAATTTTGACCGACCATAGGAAATGAATGGGAAATTGACAAACACAAATTCTCTACAAATCGCCCACAATGCAGAAAAAAACATCAATAGTGAAAAACATAACATAATTAATTAATATAATTAATATATATATATATATATATATATATATATAATATAATTATTATTAAAATTATTAAAATAATAATTCATATTTTTTTTTTAAATAATAAATTTATATGTTTAAAAATACTACTAATAATAATAATAACAATAATAATAATAAACTGTAAAAAAGCATTACTGTTTATTATTTTTTATTGAATTTATAACAAAATGCTTCCTCTGTATTCAGGTTTGACTGTAGTAATAATGCAAAAACGTGTACACTTCACATCAAATTATTATAATTTTTTTATAAACCATGGCAAAAAGTATTACTTGAGAATTAAAAAAAAATACATTCAAATCCACATCTTAAAAGTAAGTAATTTTGTCCAAAAACAACTAGAGAATTCACAAGCCTCTCCATAGACCGCTATACAGGCATCTAGTGGTTACACTATGACATGTTTTATTTTATTTTCTCTCAACAGATGACGCTAATCTGACTTCAAAAATTGGATGTCTGGTCTGGTCTGGAAAAGGTCTGGTCCCTGTATTAATCTGAAATACTGCAATAATTGATTTTTTTTTTTTTTTTTTTTTTTTTTTTTAAATAGGAAAAAAAATGTTTGTATTATTTTCAATGACAAAAATGTACCATATATATATATATATATATATATATATAAACTTTATTTCAGACCCAGGAGGATCCATATCACAATAACAACAATTATTTAAAAACATAAAAAAATACAAATCCTTTCACAATGTTCAGTGTCCATACAAACATGTTCTCCAGTGGTTCCACAGTCTGGAAGAAAATCTGACAGAACTTCGTACAGGGTTAGTCAAAACATCCATTAAATCATTTTCTGACTCTGATACCCTACACATAAATCTATAAATGACGTACCACTGCAGAACAAGTAGGCACCCCGGCACTGACAAACATATGGCTTGCACTGGAGCTTCTTGTAGCTCTCAGCAGAAGCCTCATGCACTCATTATACGCCACTAGAAGTTTTCTAATGCTTATAACCACACCACAGGTGGGCAGTATACAGAGCTGTACAATACGCTCTAAAGAGTAAGATCTTCAGAGATACCGAACACATGCTAAACTTACGACACAACATGTTCGCCTGGGCATACAGCTTCCGCCGCTGCCTATAGATATCCTTATCATCAGACAGGTCATTCGTAACAATATGGCCAAAATATGTAGTGCACACCTCAAGTACAGCACCAGACAGATAGAAGTCAGGAAAGGTTGACTGTCTATCCTCTCTACTGCTGATAGTCATGATCTTACTCTTTCTGCATTGTATTTTATATCAAAATCAGCACCATACTGCGTTTCTCAGAAGCTGTTGTAGACCAGCACTATATGGGCTAAAAATGACCAGATCATGGGCGTACATGAGATGATTAATTAGTGAGTCACCAACTCTACAACCTGTACCACATGCCTTTAAAATCACAGACGAATCGTTCATATACACATTAAAAAGAAAAGGAGACAGCATGCCGCCCTGGCGAACACCATTGGTCACTTGGAAGGGAGCAGATGTTACATTCCCCCTTCTCACTCTCATTGCCTGATGTACCAATACACCAAGATTATAATTATAAAACCAGGGACCCCACTTTTAGACAATTTTACAAATAATTTCTCATGATTGACACGATCGAATGCTTTAGAAGCATCAATAAAGCACAAAAACATTGTGGAATTTTGCCTATTATATTTATCCAAGATTTCCTTTAATGCAAAAATACATAAATCAGTGCCATGCTTTTGTTTAAAACCAAATTGGTTATCAATAGACAGGACGTACCTCTCAAGTGTACACAATATAACTGTCTCCAGCACTTTAAGCCACAACACTGGCCAGAGCTATTGGCCTAGTATTGCATAAATATTGACCATAAATATTGTTAAGTAACATCAAATTCTCTCAAAATACAAAATTAAAAAGAAAAAAAATTATTGAACAAAAATAAATTGCATTGGTTTTACTGGGATGGAGAAAGTTTCATTTTTAGGTGTCCGGTCACTTCTGACCGGGAGGATAACAAGTGTGACTCCGAAACGAAGAGCACCTGAGGGTTAAAACGAATTGACAACATCTCTCTCTCTCTCTCTCTCTCTCTCTCTCTCTCTCTCTCTCTCTCTCTCTCTCTCTCTCTCTCTCTCTCTCTCTCTCTCTCTCTCTCTCTCTCTCTCTCTCTCTCTCTCTCTCAGCAGATGTTGTGAGTGAGTGGGCGGAGTTAGCGCACGTGAGTGGAAGAGAACGCTGTTGAATGAGTGAGTTTTTCTATCTTTTTCTGTCTTTTTTGCGGCTTGTTTGTGTAAATCTTTTATTTGACAAGAATATTGTTGAGTAAGAGACGCTGGCCGATATGGCAGCGTCTCAAAGTTTGGATAATTTGAAAGTATGAAGTGCTTTGGTTGTGGACAGGAGGGACATATAATTCGTGCTTGTCCTGAGAAGGATGATTCGGTAGTGCCTCTGAATGAGAATAGGAAAAAGGAGCAGACAAATGTAGGTAGAAGTGAAGAGCAGAGACAGCCAGAACCCGGTGAAGGATCAAGGGTTAACACGGAGAGGGGAGATGGAAGTAATAATGGAGAAGTTGGCAAGGAAAAGTTGGAAGATGTTGTGAATGATGCTAGAAAAGCAAGCAGTATCATGAAAGAGTGTGAGGTAACTGATTCTAACTTAGTTGCAATAGAAGGTGAGGAAGACATGGAAGTGATAGAGGATGAAAGTGTTTTTAAAACACCTGCAATAAAACGGAAATTGAAGAAAAAAGGCAATGGGAAGAGAGTTAGGAAAGAAACAGGAGATGAAATATCAGGAAAAGATGTTGAAAATTCTGGGATTCAGATGGAATCAGATACGAGCAATATTGACGAGCCTCAGTCTGCCTCAGAAAGTGGAGATGATTCTTCAGGGTCTGCGAGTTCAGTCTCTCAAAAAAG